AAAACTGGATCACATCTGACAATTTTCACCCAAATTGATTTATTGAGTTTGGGTTGACACAGTACGCCCCGATGTGCACCTTAAATGAAAATAAGGGTTTAGCTCCCCTCTCCCCTCTCCCCTCTCCCCTCTCCCCTCCCCTACCTTGAGTACGATGGCTTAATCCCTTAGAGTACGATGATTTAGCCTGTGAGTACGATATTTTAAACTGTTTGAGTACGGTGATTTAGCCTTTTAGAGTATGATGATTTAGCCTGTTGAGTACGTTGGTTTAAACTGCTTGAATATGATGGGTTTACATCCTTGAGTCCAATGATTGAATCTCCTTGAGTACGATGGCTAACTCATTCGTACTCAAATGGTTAATCCAACGTACTGAAGAGATTAAATCGACACACTCAAAGGATTTAAAATAATCTACTCAAAAAGATAAGTCATCGTACTCAAAAAGTTACGTCACCGTACTCAAAAAATTACGTCACCGTACTCAGATTGTCATTGTACTCAAAACGAGCACTTTACAGGCGGGCAGCTCGGCGGTGGGTGTATGGACGCCAAAGGAAGAGGAAATTAACATAACAAAGAGAATGACACAAGTCCTTAGAGCCGTCATGATTAACGTACAATAGTCAACAACAATACCTCCATCGGCTGAGTTAAGAACATCCCTCATACATAAAAAAGACGTTACTTCCAGCAGTCAGGTCAACAAAGGCAGTCAAGTCAATATTTTAGAGAGAGTTTTATTGTTTTATCCTCGATCTAAATAAAATAATATTCTTATATTAACTTGAGAATTAGTTAGAATTAGACAGTTATGTGAGAATTAGTTAGATATTTTTTACGGTATTATTCTCTTGGTGTTAAATTATTCTTATATTAATTCTTTCGAGGTTTATTATTATTATTATTATTATTATTATTATTATTATTATTATTATTATTATTATTATTATTATTATTATTATTATTATTATTATTATTATTATTATTATTATTATTATTATTATTATTATTTCTGTCCTTATAACGGGAGGTCACTAATTTAGACAGTTACAAATGACAGGAACAGTCATCAGTGTCCTGGGATAATCAGGACAACAAGTTACTAGTGACAGGTGATTGACAGGAGCGCCCGTCACCTGTCACTGCCACTCACCCCGTCACCAATATTACCCCCAACACAGCGAGCAATTCACCCCAACCATAATTGAGGGTAATTAGCAAGGTATCTCACGTGTCCTAACTCTATGATGTCCTAATTGTGGTGATGTAATGTAGGGATTAACCTGGGTAGTGTTAGTTAGGATTACTTAAGCTAGGTCATGTTAGAGTTAGGATTAGTTAACCTACACGGAACCTAACCTCTCTCAGGGGGTTAGATCACCGCTTAACACACACACACACACACACACACACACACACACACACACACACACTAGGGGGCTTAAAGATTTTGTGAATATGACATAATATTTTTTTGCAAATCCAATACCATAAGCTTCTAACACACAAGTGGAAATCAACACAGAGTCATTGTACAGGCTCATCTATTTGCTTATGAATGTCGTCTCTTTTAGTGATAGTTGTCGTTTTGTTTATGATTGTCGTCTCTTTTAGTGATAGTTGTCGTTTTGTTATGATTGTCGTCTCTTTTAGTGATAGTTGTCGTTTTGTTATGAATGTCGTCTCTTTTAGTGATAGTTGTCGTTTTGTTTATGATTGTCGTCTCTTTTAGTGATAGTTGTCGTTTTGTTTATGATTGTCGTCTCTTTTAGTGATAGTTGTCGTTTTGTTTATGATTGTCGTCTCTTTTAGTGATAGTTGTCGTTTTGTTATGATTGTCGTCTGTTTTAGTGATAGTTGTCGTTTTGTTTATGATTGTCGTCTGTTTTAGTGATAGTTGTCGTTTTGTTTATGATTGTCGTCTCTTTTAGCGATAGTTGTCGTTTTGTTATGATTGTCGTCTCTTTTAGTGATAGTTGTCGTTGAATGTTTCTTGTGACGTAGGAGTTACTATGTTGTCAGTGTTGATATCATTCCAGTATCAATAAATGAATATGCTCTTTAAGTGAATATTTAGTATTCATGTAACTAAGCTTTAAATAAATTAAGTTAGGTTAGGTTAAGTTTGGTTAGGATAGGATAGGATAGGATAGGATAGGTTAGGGGAGATTTGGTTGGGTTATGTTTGGTTATAAGACCCCCAGGAGGAAGAAGAATGAAGCAGGAAATAGGAAGACGCAGGAAGGAAACAAGGAGAAGGAGGTACGGAGGAAGACTATTTATCACCACGGCGTGACTGATGTAGAGTCGATAATGTCGGCTGTCCTGAAGGAAAGCCACTACCACCACTACCACCACTACCACCACTACCACCAGTAACAACACCATTTCCACCACCAACACCACTACCACCACCATTCCCACTGTCACTACTACCACCATAAACCACTACACACCATTTCCAATAGTACCACCACTACCATCATTGTCACCAGTACTACCACCACTCTCACTGTCACTACTACCACCACCACTACCACCACCACTACTACCACCAACTTTCACTCTTACCACTTTCTTTCATTTCCTCACCTCCTCTCTCCACCCCCTCTCCAATTCTGGGTTCTGTTCCCCCTTTCTCCACCCCCTTCCACCCCGTCTCCACCCCCTCTCCACCCCCCTCCACCCCTCTCCTCTTTTCCTGATCCACCATAATGTCACCACACACTCCACACCGGCCTCCACATCTTCACTACAGGGGCAGGAACTGTGATATATGAGGGCTATAGTTCAGGCTCCGACCCTCCCTACCTATGTAAATGGGCACACTGGGGCTAAGGCCATTAGGACCGGCCCCAGTACAGTACAGTGTGTCTTGATGACTGAGCACCAATCGTAAATGGCCTGGTTAGGTTTATTTACGGCCAATTAGGACTGAGGTTTATTTGAGATCATGTCCTATTAAGACTGACTGGTCAACACAACCACCAGGGACTATTAGGGCTGGAAGCTAAGAGTATTAGGAGTTGGACTTATTAGGTCTAAGATTTTTTAACCTTCACCAAGACACTGCCTGACGCAACACCCTTCCTGTGAGGTTTGGTTAGGTTAGGTTTGGTTAGGTTAGGTTTGGTTAGGTTAGGTTTGGTTAGGTTAGGTGAGGTATAAATGAGCTCTATGTGTGTTAGCAGTTTAAGGTTTGCCACGAGAGGAATAAATGTAAACTTGTATAATAAATTGTTCAGAGAAATATTTATTCAGTTCTGGTACAGTGATTGTTCCATTTCCTCTCTCTCTCTCACACACACACACACACACACACACACATGGTCTACTGTTCTCTGTATATTAGGGACTATTCCATTAACATTTAATTACAAGGATGAAATTTAAATCAATAGAGAATTCGTTGTTGTAAGCGAAAGGGGAGAGAGAGAGAGAGACAGAGAGAGAGAGAGAGTTTTATTATCATTTCATCAACAACAAAGGTCAGAGAGAATGAGTTCATTTCCTAATTCTGTGCGTGTTCCCCCATCTGATAAAGCGTCCGATACACTGACACACACTGGGTGGACTTTACCAGCTTACAGAACAGGATATCGTACTGATCTCTGAATACCTTTTACCCAACTATAATGACAATACAGAGATAATCCTCAACTATATTGTGATTCTCTTTATTATTTTATGACGGTTGTTTCAGTTTGTAATGCCGTCAAATTGTGAACAGATGCATTAGACATTAGTTCTGGGCTGATCGTATGTCTGGCAGCGTGTACAGTGCCCTCTGTTGAGTACATCAGGCGGTAACTAACTATAAAGCCACACTAATTGATAATCTTCTGTGGTATTATTATTATTATTATTATTATTATTATTATTAGTAGTAGTAGTAGCAGTAGTAAGGCGGATACCAACTAATTAAACAAGATTCGACGGTTCATTACGACAGAGCTGCACACCCAAAGTGATAAACTACGACAACTGTTGCAACAAGTGCCAGAGAACGTGAAAAGAAAAGTAGCTATAGCACAGGAGGTGGGCGCCTCAAACTGGTTAACAACGTTACCGATAAGGTCAAAAGGCTTCATCCTTAATAAACAAGAATTCACAGATGCCATTGCTCTAAGGTACGGTAGGCCAGTAGAAGGTTTGCCCTCCTAATGCGTGTGTGGCTCTTCCTATGACGTTGATCACGCCATGGTGTGCAACAAGGGGGGCTTCATATGCATGAGGCATGACGAAGTAAGGGACCTAACAGCAAATCTACTGAGGGAAATCTGCCACGACGTCATGGTGGAACCGCCCCTCCTTCCATTGGACGGTGAGAACCTCCGTCACAGGACTTCAAACACATCCAACGAAGCCCGTGTGGACGTCAGTGGTCGAGGATTCTGGACTCAGGGACAGCGAGCCTTTTTTGACATAAGGATTTTTGATCCCATGCCCGCATGTCACCGCAACCTAGCTCTCGATGCTGTACACAGGAGGAACGAAAACGACAAGATTAGGGCATATGAGGAAAGCATTCAGAACGTTGATCAAGGCAGCTTCACTCCTCTGGTGTTCACAACCTCTGGTGGGATGGGACCGCGTGCAAGATGCTTCTACGCCAGACTCGCGGAGGTGTTATCTGAACGGAAGTTGCATCCTATAAGTTATGTTACAGCCTGGTTGAGATGTCGAATTGTCCTTCTCTCTACTTAGGTCTGCATTGCTTTGCATCAGGGGAACGAGAGCATCTGCCCCAAAGCCGACAACAGTCGCAGATATCGACTTTGAGGCAACAGTCACTGAATGCCGCATAGATCTGCGGCTCAACTAACTCAACACAGCTAGGGTAGCTACTTATGTATTAGGATATTTAATTTTAAGGTAATAAAAGGGCGGTGAAGGTGTGGCTAGTATTAGTAGTAAAATCATTATGCTGTACATTATAACTAACCCCCTCTATATACTTAACAATTTAACATGAACAATTTTCGTTCCCACAGATGTTGGGGGAGAAGGCCAGAAGCGTGTCGGTGGAGCGGGTCTGGTGGTGGGTGTACGGGCGTCCCCTGGGTAGATGGGCGTACTTGATGCTGTTGTTGATGCTGCACTCCCACCCACCACACACAGCTGCACAGTACACGGGTGAGTTTATCTGGTCTAGTGATGCTGTTGGCAAGTCCGAACGAGTGGTAGGTGGGTGGGTGGATGGGTGGGGTGGTGGTGGGTGGGTGGGTGGGATGGGTGGTGGGTGGGTGGGTGGTGGGTGGGTGGGTGGGTGGTGGGTGGGTGGGTGGGTAGATGGGTTAGTTGGGTCATTTGGGTCACCTAATGGGTTCGTCTACCTCTCTCACACGATAGGTTGGAAGGGCTGATTGAGATGGTTAAGTTATGGGGCTTTCACTGTGTGTGTGTGTGTGTGTGTGTGTGTGTGGAGGTAGAGAGAGAGAGGGAGGGAGGGTAGACACACACACACACACACCTTCTGTTAACGTCTCTTATACACACATAGACACACTAATAACATCTGTACACACACACACACACACACACACACACACACACACACACACACACACCTGAAGTGAACTAACAAACATACAAGTGTCTCATATATGCAATACAACATTTCAACACTTATTAAAACATTGCTCAACCCCTGAAGAGTTTTTAATGGTTAATACTCCTAAATATTACTCTCTTATCCATAATATTACTCAAGATATCACTCACTTAAGATATCCCAGGATGTGGTATTTAATATAGTTTTTAGTCAATATTTTTAATCTAACCTAATCTTAAGTAACCTAATTAACCTTAACCTAACCTTAAACGTCCTTACAACCTCAAACCGTACCACAACTTCCCCCTCACCCACCCCCCCCACTCTCATCCATCCCTCCACTCTTATCCACCCCTTACACCCACCCCCCATACCCTTATCCACACCCCCAATACAGACACTATGAATGATAGTAGACTCCCCCGCGCCCACAGAACGTGGGTGGGCGTGGAGAACAATACCATGGTGAACGTGAAGGCACAGCTGGGCTACAAGGCGTTCCTCCCCTGCTCAGTGCGTATGATCGGTGACAAGCAGGTGAGTTGCCCATACAGGTGTGTTGTTAATGAGCAGGTGAGGCGTTATTACAGGTGTATCTCTCTGTCTGTCTGTCTGTCACTCTCTCTGTCTCTCTCTGTCTGTCTGCCTGTCTGTCTCTCTCTCTGTCTCTCTCTGTCTGTCTGTCTGTCTGTCTGTCTGTCTGTCTCTAACACGTCATTCCTCAACCATATCACACTCTAACACGTCATTCCTCAACCATAACACACTCTAACACGTCATTCCTCAACCATAACACACTCTAACGCCTCATTCCTCAACCATAACACACTCTAACACCCCATTCCACAACCATAACACGCTCTAACGCCTCATTCCTCAACCATAACACACTCTAACACGTCATTCCTCAAACATAACACACTCTAACGCCTCATTCCTCAACCATAACACACTCTAGCACCTCATTCCTCAACCATAACACACTCTAACACGTCATTCCTCAACCATAACACACTCTAGCACCTCATTCCTCAACCATAACACCCCCTTCCCTCCCAAAGAACACATCCCTAAGCTCTTCTCTCTCTGCGACAGATCTCGTGGATTCGTCGTCGTGACTGGCATGTTTTGACGTCCGGAGTCTTCACCTACACGACGGATGAGAGGTTCTCCATTACCCACCGCGACGGAGCTGATGACTGGACTCTCTCTATTAAGTTCTTACAGGCCAGAGACAATGGGACTTATGAGTGTCAGGTAAAGTGCAATCAAGTGTTAGTGACAGGTAACTTCAAGTGTTTGTGTGTGTCATCTAAGTGTTATTGAGTGTGTGTGTGTGTGTGTGTGTGTGTGTGTGTGTGTGTGTGTGTGTGTGTGTTAGGTAAATGTTTTCAAGTGTTTGTAAGTGTCAGGTAAGTGCTATTGTTTATGTGTCATGTACATTGGTTTCACTTAAATGACACTGACACACACACACACACACACACACACACACACACACACACACACACACACACACACATCGAACAATTTCCACCTTCAAGTTACGAGGCAGAAAAGAGCTATAATCGCTACTGGGACCATTGTAAGAGATAAGGGAATGAGCATTATAGGTGTTAGGTTATAGGGGAGGAGTAGAAGTTATAGAGGTGTTATAATACCATCAGGGATACAGGGAGGGAAGCTGCTATCATCCATAACCATTTGATAATAGGCATCGATAATTGGCATCCCTTGTTGAGAAATGTTTATCTTTTGCAATGGGGTCGTGGTACATACATACATACATACATACATACATACATACATACATACATACATACATACATACATGCATACATATATACATACACTGATAGATTAATAGGTATATTGAAGATAGATAGATAGTAAAATAGTCATGCAAAATATAAATTGATTAAGTGCTTCCATTTTAGCACTAACATAATGCTGCAACACAATACGCATTTCACCACCCTGTACACACTCACACACACACACACACACACACACACACACACACACACACACACACACTCTCTTTACACGTCAGAAATGAGATTATTTTTAAAGGGTCTTATGATGGAGTTTCCTCTTAAGTGAAAGTGTAAAGATGTTTGTAAATAGTTGACTTTAAATAAGAAAAATATGGCACAGAAATATTATAAAAGTTATACTGTGATTCTGCCTAAGTTGTGAATCATATTGGAGATGATTTTGAGATGTGTGTGTGTGTGTGTGTGTGTGTGTGTGTGTGTGTGTGTGTGTGTGTGTGTGTGTGTGTGTGTGTGTGTGTGTGTGCTTTTCCTTCTACCCGTCTCTGTCTCTCATCTCTCTCCCTCACTCTCCACCACCCCCAACACTCACCTCACCTCTCCACCACCTCCAACACTCACCCTCACCTCTGCACCATTTCCTCCAACACTCACCCTCACCCTCCACCACCTCCTCCAACACTCACTCACCTCTCCACCACCTCCCAACACTCACCCTCACCTCTTCCTCCAACACTCACCTCACCTCCACCACCTCCCCCAACACTCACCCTCACCTCTCCACCACCTCCCTCCAACACTCACCCTCACCTCTCCACCACCCCTCCAACACTCACCCTCACCTCTGCACCCACCTCCCAACACTCACCTCACCTCCACCACCTTCCCAACACTCCACCTCACACCACCTCCTCCAACACTCACCCTCACCTCTCCACCACCTCCCCCAACACTCACCCTCACCTCTCCACCACCTCCTCCAACACTCACCCTCACCTCTCCACCACCTCCTCCTACAGATCTCTACAGGGACAGGAATCGTGAGTCAGTTCGTCAATCTGAACGTGATTGTACCCGAGGCGTTTATTCTTGGTAACAGCGAGTACCATGTAGAGACTGGTTCACCTATCAATCTATTCTGCATCATAGAACAGGTAAGTGACTGTTACAATTAGACTGGATCATCTATCAGTCAATTTTGTATTTTAGTTGAGTGACTGTGATAAATAGACTGTCACTGTATCATATTGTAACTCATATTATATTCAATACCACATTATTATTGCAATATCTTTCCCTGTCCCCCCCTCTCTCTCTCTCTCTTCGTCCCTTCGTCTTTCCTCCTCTTTCCCTCCGTCTGTCTCTCCGTCTCACTCTCTCCCTCTCCCTTTCTTTCCCTGTGTCTCCTTCTCCGTCCCTCTCTGTCTCTCCCTTTCAGACACATATCCCGCCCCATGTGGTATACTGGAAGCACAATGGGCGGTTGCTGAATTACGACAGCGAGCGGGGCGGCGTCTCTGTCACCACTGAACACGGCACCAAGACCTCTTCCCGCCTCGTGATAACTAATGCCATCACCAAGGACTCGGGCAATTACACGTGTGTCGCTCCCAACACCCAGCCAGCTTTCGTCCACGTCTTCGTCAGCCAGGGTGAGTGTTTTATGGGGTTGAGTGCGTGTTGTGGGTGTGTGTGTGTGTGTATGTGTGTGTGTGTGACTGTTTTATGAGGGTGAGTGTGTTATGGGTGTAAGTGCGTGTTGTGGGTGTGTGTGTGTGTGTGTGTGTGTGTGTGTGACTGTTTTATGGGGTGGTGTAAGTGTGGGTGTGTGTGTGTGTGTGTGTGTGTGACTATTTTATGGGGGTGTTGTGTGTTTGTGAGTGTGTAAAGGTGGCGTCAGTGTCTTGTGAGTGAGGGTATAAAATGGCAGTAGTAGTAGTAGTAGTAGTAGTAGTAGTAGTAATAGTAGTAGTAGTAGTAGTAGTAGTAGTAGTTATCATGTATCAACAACAATGTCGTGTTCTGAGTCACTAAGCGTCATTCTCTCACACAGGCGACAAGACAGCAGCGATCCAGCGAAGAACATCAGGGTGTGTGGGCGCGCTGTGGGTGTATGGGTGGTCGTGGGTGGGCTTCTTCACCCTTCTCTCATTGCAGTGGAGGTCATCCTCAGCCCACCTACTCTTATAGTGCGACTAACACCCACTACTTCTCCCTTTAGTGACCCTTCAAGTTACAACTCGACTGGTGATCCTCCGCCTCGACTCTCACATCCAGAGCTCCAGTTCCACAGAGGCTCCTACAATGGGTGTTCCTCCTACTGTAGATCTGAGGATTTAGACGATGAATTAACTTAAGATAAACTACTAAACTTACGTCGAGAAATACACCTGAGACTCTACCTTAATTAAATATCTTCACTTGATACCAGTTAAGAGATTATAATGAAGGCTGAGAATGTGTAGTGTTATGTCGACGTTTTAGTTTAATTTTGGTATTATTTTTGGACGTAAATTGTTGTCGTTTGTCATAAGTTATTCAGTTTAGGTATATTCTCAGAGCTTCACTTACGAGGTGTTGTTACGGTAGGAGCCTGAGGGTGTGTCTGGTGCCGTCATCACTACAGGAGTCATGGCGGGAGTGTCAGCGTCCTGATGTTGTGAGGGTCTACCTGCCCTGCCCTGCTCACTGGTGACCCTCTATACACGTGACACAGCTCTATAGGCCTCACGTGCCCTGCCCTGCTCACTGGTAACCCTCTACAGCCTCACACAGCTCTACAGCATCACACAACTCTACGGCATCACTCAGCTCTACAACCCAACACATCTCTGCAGCCTCACGCACCACCAACACCACCTCTCGACACATCGTCCATGAAGCGAGGTTTTAGTGGCCGAAGCTCTGGAAAATTGTTTATCAGGTTTTGGGGTGAGAGGCAGTATGCCACGGGGGTGAACGATGGCCACGGGGGTGAACGATGGCCACGAGGGTAAACGATGGCCAAGAGGGTGAACGATGGCCACGGGGATGAACGATGGCCACGGGGGTGGACAATGGACAAGTTTGTGAACGATGACCACGGTTGTAGGATGGTACGGATGTGAACGATGGTACGGGGTGAACGATGTACGGGGTGAACGATGGCCACAGGAGTGAGCGATGGCCACGTGGGCAAACGATGGCCACGAGGGTAAACGATGGCAACGGGGTGAACGATGGCCACGGGGTAGACAATGGACACGCTTGTGAACGATGACCACGGTTGTGAGTGATGGCCACGGATGTGAACGATGGCCACGGATGTGAACGATGGTCACGTGGTTGAACGATGGCCACGGATGTGAACGATGGCCACGAGGGTGAACAATGGCCACTAGGGTGAACGATGGCCACGGGAGTGAACGATGGCCACGGGTGTAAACGATGGCCACGAGGGTGGACGATGACCACGGGTGTGATTGATGGCCACGGATGTGAACGATGGTCACGAGTGTGAACGATTGCCACGAGTGTGAACGATGGCCACGGGTGTGTGGACAATGGTCACCAAGAAAGAAACACTCACCAGCCACACTTACAAGTGACCACAATTAGAAAACACAGGATAATATTAATTACCAAAGGCCATCACTGAAAACACTGACCACCGCTACTCGCTAATACTGGCCACAACTTGTGAACGCTGTTATCTGTCTACTCTGGCGAGACTGTGGGAGCGTTCATAACATTGTGTTGACAGTGACGGGGACGACCCACACCGAGCACGAACCCCTGTGAGAGGAGATGTGGGGGCAGGGCTGTAAGGGCCACAACAGTGTGTTTACTGCGGTGTGGTGAAGAGATTGGCAGCGGTGGGCGTGTTAGAGGACTGTGAACACACGTGAACTTTGTGTTATATGTATGAGGGCGGCAGACTGTGTGATGGTGTGTAGGTGTGTGTGTGTGTGTGTGCGTGTGTATGTATTTGTGTGTGCGTTATGACTCATTGTGGTTCATTGTTTAGTTGTGTTTGTAGCTTAGTGGACTTTTGTATACCAGACCTGGAAAAAGAAAGGATATTGCACATTACCTAACTACTGAACTACTACAGACAGCTGTTATAAACTGACTCTCACAAGGAGGTGATGTACTGTACAGGTAATGAATGTACACCAGAGATTATATTTCATATGAGAGGTGTACACGTCTCATTAGTATGTATATATATTATATATGTGCACACATTACAGTGTACGTTCACCATGTATGTAGTTAATGTGTGCACACTCTCCCACATTCACCTGGTAAGCTTATCGGATGTAAGAGTGAAGGCGGCTCCTCCCACAACAGCCAGCCATCAGTCCGGACATTATTCCTTATATTCCCGTCACAAGACGTAATGTGTTTGGGAACCTCCAGCGAACACCAGCTATATAACGATCATTTTTTCTGACTAAGGAGCCACCCTAACCTAACCTAACCTACCTTACCCTAGTCCTAAAGTAACCTAACTCTACCTAATCTCAATTAACCTACTTTTGGCTCACATAACCCAACTTACCCTAACGACCCTCGGTTACTTCTGATTACGTTAGGTTAGGTTAGGCTAGGTTAGGTTAGATTACGTTAGGTTAGGTTAGGTTAGGTTAGGTTAGGTTAGGTTGGCTCGTGTCGTCTGCTTTCAAAAAATAAATGAATGTAACTCATACGTGTTTTGTTGAGGTGTTTCCTGCCGCTCTCTGTCAGCCACTGTCAGCCAGAATCTACACTCCTTCCAGATACTCTCATCATTCAGGAGGTTAACCTCATCACCCTGTGTATGTATGTATGTATGTATGTATGTATGTATGTATGTATGTATGTATGTATGTATGTATGTATGTATACTCATGTCATCTTATCGTCGTGTACATAACAATCAGCTGGTGTATCTGGTGTACAGTTTACCTGGTGTCACCTAGTTAATTAACACAAAAACACCTGCGGCTACTTAACCTCCTTTGTAAACTCTATGTTGCTTTACATCTTTCAATAAAAAAGAAAAAAAAATCCCCATATATTTTTTACATATTTTCTATGATAATTTCACTATAATTAATCTATTATCTTTAATTATATTACGTCTTTCTTGGTGTAATTATCAGACCAACTATAAATTATTGGACGTTTATTATTTCCTATGGAACATATCACAGAGTTTGTGTTCTGGAACGTGTAACCTCTATCATTCTTACTAAACATCAGTGATCATTCTTACACTATATTGAGTCATCATTCTTATTAAACTGTGTCTGAATCAACATTCTTACACTGTATTGAGTCATCATTCTTATTAAACTGTGTCTGAGTCATTATTCTTACACTGTATTGAGTCATCATTCTTATTAAACTGTGTCTGAGTCAACATTCTTACACTGTATTGAGTCATCATTCTTATTAAACTGTGTCTGAGTCAACATTCTTACACTGTATTGAGTCATCATTCTTATTAAACTGTGTCTGAGTCAACATTCTTACACTGTATTGAGTCATCATTCTTATTAAACTGTGTCTGAGTCAACATTCTTACACTGTATTGAGTCATCATTCTTATTAAACTGTGTCTGAGTCAACATTCTTACACTGTATTGAGTTATTCTTACGGTGTAATTGAGCTATTATTCTTACACTGTATTTGTCATTCTTACACTGTATTTATCATTCTTTACACTGTATTTGAGTCATCATTCTTCTTGAACTGTGTCTAAAGTCAAAATTCTCACACTGTATTTTTGTTGTCATTCTTATATTGTATTTATCATTCTTACACTGTATTTGAGTCGTTATTCTTACACTGTATTTGAGTCGTTATTCTTACACTGTATTTGAGTCGTCATTCTTACACTGTATTTGAGTCGTCATTCTTACACTGTATTTGAGTCGTTATTCTTACACTGTATTTGAGTCGTTATTCTCACACTGTATTTGAGTCGTCATTCTTACACTGTAATGCCGTAATCTCTGTAACCCTTTTGTAACATATTTTGCTGTAATAAGTTGTGTCTCCTTATTAATAAAAGGATTCTCATTAGACCATAAACAACCACTGTGTTTCCTTATACCTGATTGCTGATTGGTTCATGAAGCCCCAACACAAGTTTACTCTCTATATGATGATTTTTGAATAAAGTATCGTTGGTTCTCAAGTCTCTTAGTCTCTTATCATCACAACAACAACTTCTACAACACGAGCTGGTTGTTGGTTTACGTCTGAGATGATAAGTAAGAGTCAAGGTTGTGGATATTGACTCGTATCATAGAGACTCTGATGAGGTGAAATGGAAAACACTCACCCAAGATTACTGCATCAATAACAAGACAGTCAGACAGTCTAGTATCTTTAGTAGTCTGTCACAGCCTGCACAACCTCACAGCCTGCACAACCTCACAGCCTGTACAACCTCACAGCCTGTACAACCTCACAGCCTGCACAACCTCACAGCCTGTACAACCTCACAATCTGTACAACCTCACAGCCTGCACAACTTCACAGCCTGCACAACCTCACAGCCTGTACAACCTCGCAAGTGACCGAAATCGACTGGAAACAGAGAGTCATTTGGAATAATTCTCTCAGGTTTAAGTCAATCTTTCACCACCAGTCCACAGCTCAGTGTCGTCACCTCAACAAGTCGACAGCGTGGACAACACAGGTATGGACCAGGTGTGTTTACCAGGTGTGTTTACCAGGTATGCTTACCAGGTGTGCTTACCAGGTATGTTTACCAGGTGTGTTTACCAGGTGTGCTTACCAGGTGTGTTTACCAGGTGTGCTTACCAGGTGTGTTTACCAGGTGTGTTTACCAGGTGTGTTTACCAGGTGTGTTTACCAGGTGTGCTTACCAGGTGTGTTTACCAGGTGTGTTTACCAGGTAGAGTAATTGTTTGTTGTATAATAAACTGTTCCTTTTTGTGCAAGACTTGTTATTATATGTGTTTACAGTGTATTTTAAGACTTACCATTGGCTTCGATGTTTCACTGCATATACGCTTACTTGACCTTACCTGACCTTACCTCATTTCATTTCCATTAAGTAGTAATAAGTAAAAGAGTCAGTCATCCCTAGTTGATAAAATCGTTAGCTGGTTTTTAAAGATTCCTCTCTCTCTCTCTCTCTCTCTCTCTCTCTTTATCTCCTCGTTGCATGCCTTCCTTATACGCGAAGGATGTTTTCATTTTAACCCCAGGATGGGTAAGGCAAACATTATTGTGACCTGCTGGTGTTTGTGTTGTGGTGGTACTCATACATTATTCTCCCCAGGATAAACAAGACCACTGTTATCCTGGTCGGGTCTCAGATATACGTACTGAATCCTCCTCCCTCCCCCCCCCCAACTTTTTATGGGTAATCCTCAGTGTTTTCTTGTTTTGTTTCACCTCTTTATCACCTGTTTGTGTTTGTCTTTGTTTTTTTGTTTTGTTTTTGTTTTGGGAGTAAATATGGTTGTTAATGGTAGGATTTATGTTGTGTGGTTGTAGATGAAGCTAAGTAGTGTTGTATAGTCCGTAGTGTTGATTAATGACGTGGTTCTACCTGTGACGTGTTTCTACCTGTGGCGTAGTTCTACCTGTGACGTAGTTCTACTTGTGACGTATTTCTACCTGTGACGTATTTCTACTTGTGACGTAGTTCTACCTGTGACGTAGTTCTACCTGTGACGTAGTTCTACCTGTGACGCATTTCTACTTGTGACGTGTTTCTACCTGTGACGTAGTTCTACCTAACTACTGAAATAAAGTTCGTGAGTGGCTCTGACAAAAATAACTATCGGTAGTTCTGGCAAATCTTAAAAAACAAAAAAAAATAAAATAAAAAATAAAAAAATTAAATTCTCGATGTTTTTCTGTGACTTTGTTAAAAAGAAAGAGAAAAAAAAAGTCAAGTCAAATTTACCCTCATAAGCAGAAATCCATTCCTCCCTGACAGTCAATACCAACTCTGTGTTTAGCTTCCATTTGCGTCTTTGAGTTGGATCCCACAAAGTTTACCTGGGGGGAATAAACTGTCTTCATCGTCTTCATACTCCAAGTTCAATTTTCTCTTCCAATAAATAATGACACACTTATGGAATCCCTGGCTGAATATTCCACT